AGATTGACAGACTAGGACCTATGGCAACCCTAAGGCAACTCTACCCCTGAGTTTTCTGATGACTCTCCCAAGATCACCCAATGGGTTTTCATGGGCAAGTAGGGATTAGAACCCTGGTCTCCAGAGTTGTAGGCCAACACTGCAACCATTATCATGCTGGCTAAACAAAAACTACAGCAATACTACGATATTAACAAATGACACCATCTTGTGTAACAGTCCAACCACCAGCATCTATTGCAGACATGTCTACAGACAGCTGTCTGGCATCACTATGGAGTGCAAAAGTAACAGGGGAACTCCAGGGTAGATCTGCGGCCAGAACACTCTGGGAGCAGCCTGGAGTATTCTGGCCAGTGTAGATGAGCCCTTAGTTATGAACAGACATACAGAGGATTATATGGTAGAAATACGGAAAAAAAAACAACACAAAAACTGTACATAGATCTTTACATCACCAAACAAATATTTAAAAAGTTCTGAAGTACCCTTATCCTGCACCTCCAGCAGCAGTTGCAATAAAATAATTACATCATTTGAAAGATTAAACACCCTGCTGTCTAATCCTAGCAGTAAAGGATATGGTATTTGATATTATTGAAAAATCAGATAAATAATTATTAAGAATTCAGGCAGCCCATAGCAATTTTTTACTCTAGGTAGGCCTACCAATTTTTAACAAACAAAGATGAGATTGACTACATTGGTCCGCCACATATATTAGCACATAACATTATGGTCTAGTTCTTTAGTAGAAATGTAGAATAAATTCTGCTGGCACCGCTGCGCTTGGGAGCCAAATCACAGCATGAAAAACTCTCTCTTTCCATCCTGCAGTAATGGAAGGAAGAAGTGCGGTAGGAGCCATCATTATTTATTTTGGTGGCACTCAAATTTCTTCTGAAGTAGTTTACCTAAAAAGCCTGCAAAAATGGCATTTTTAAAATTTCCCTCTTTTTTAAAACAAAAAGAAAGAGTAATTTGATTATTTGCATAGTAAGAAAGAATGGGAGAAAGGAAGAAATAGGTCAGCCAGCTTTTCAAGGTTGTACATGCAGGACATCAGGATGGATAGATTGGTTAATGTTAAACCTCTTTTCTAGCTTGGGGTGACAGAGAGCAGAAGGGGTTTGTACATACCAAAGGCCTGAAGGTTTAAAAAACCCTAAAATAACAGGTTATTTTTTGGAATTATCCTTTTGTTACCATCAATTACAGATTCATTAGGAAATCTCTCATTTTGAATGGTCAGTGATGACTTCTGTTGAAGATGCTTGACAAAGGAAAACATAATCTTTTTGCCCAAAGGTAGGAGATCCACAGGGGTTGCCATCCAGGCCAATGTGAGGGGAGTTAACAACAACTATCATATGTATTGTACTATAGAACTATGTAGCAAGGGCCATCTTGTGATACATGTGATCCATTTTGCCAAAATAAATGAGAGAAAGGAAAAAATAGCTGAAGGAAGGAGGAGTATGGTGGCTCACAGTAAAATGTTCAAACTGTCAAATTCTTTCTGAACAAATTACCTGATTATAATCTTGTTGACAGTTGGACATCATCCAGGATTTCTTCCCCCCTCCCCCCATAAAGAATGACATTTTCTTGGAGCAAACACAACTATCTTTCCTAAAATCAGTGATATATTCCTGCCCTGCAGGGGTATTTACTAATACGAAAGCCCAGTGCAAAATCTCATTCTGAGTCATGCTTTGTGTGCCCAATGTGTGAAATGCAAAGCCTTTTTTTTTTTTTTTTTGTATTCCCATATAAACACAATCCCCTATGCTCCCCAAGTTTAACCTTTCTGTTCTTCCTACTGGATAGTTGCCATTTTATTAAAGGTTACTCCACATCAGGAAACATCTCAAGATAGACAGTTGTGATATACTATCTCATTAGTATATGACAACTGTGAGGGCAATCCTATGGGAGAGCAGGCGGAGAGTGGAAGAACCATCATTTTCTGTGCCAGTATTGGCAGATCCCAAAAGTAGTTTTCTGTCCCTTTTGTCTTTTCCCTCTGACTGATGTTCCTTTACATTTTCCCCTCCTATTGGTTTCAATGGGAGGACAAAAATCAATATTTTGTCTATAGGACTGGCATATAGGACTTTCTAATATTTTTGAGGTCATACTGGGGGGAACAAGAAAGCATTGGACCTGGTGGATCAAAGCCATCTCTGCTGTGCTCCTTCCTTCCACATCCTCCATCATGGAATAGTGATGGAAGTGGAATGAACTTTCATTTCCACAAGAAGGCTTCTGTGGAAATTAGAGAAGTCTACTCCATCACTTGAAGGCAAGAATGACCGGTGACAAATAAAGAGATCTGGATTGCCCAGCTGCCCTCCTTTTGGGTGGTCATCACTGCTTCATAATGGACATTGCCCAGCTGGCTTAAAGAAGAATTATCCAGGAAGCAAAAGACACATTTGCTGTTGTTATGTATCCTCAGGTTGTTTCTGACCCATGGCAACACTAAAGCAAAGCTATCACATGGTATTCTTGTCAGGATTTGTTCAAAGGTATCTTAGCCTTCCTCTGAGGTCCAAGGTCACCCAGTGTTTTTCCATGGCCAAGCAGGGATTTGAACCCTGATCTCCAGGGTTGTAATCCAACACTCAAACTACTACATTATACTACCTCTAAATGATGTAGGAGCCCTGTTGTTGTGCGCCCTCAAAGTTGTTTCTGACTTATGGCTATCCTAAGGAGAAATTATCACAGGGTTTTCTTAAGATTTGTTGAGAGATTTTTTTTTGCCTTTGCCTTCCTCTGAGGCTCAGACTATGACTTGGCCAAAGTTGCCTAGTGGGTTTCCATGGCCAAACTGGGATTTGAACCCTGGTCTCCAGAGTCATAGTCCAACACTCAAACCACTACACTACACTATGCTGGTTCTGCCCATCAAAAGATGATTGTTTTCATGTGTAAATTTATATATAGCTTGATCACAAAATATCACAACTGAGCCTGAAGGTAAATTAGTTTTGTTCCTGTTAGCATATGATCTAGAATGGAAGCTCAGACCTACTTTTAACTGCAAGTCCTAATTAGAGTAGGCCCTTTAATCAATGCTGATTTACATAAATGCTGATTTACCATACAACAATATATTTACTATCTACTCTAGTTAATTGCTTGTCTACTTTAGCAAAAATAATCTGGATGCAAATCAGAGTAGTTGTCATGGGTTAGCACTATATGTACTGGTAGCCAAATTGATGTCTACACATATCACTAGCATAAATGCAAGTTGTCACTTCTTTATTGTTACCCTTGTCCTCGGAGCTGCTGCTGCCTTCCCAGACAAGCACCTCCCTGGCAGAACCCTGATGGAAATAGCACTTGGTCTGAAGTCTTAAGGAGATGTCCAGCCATGTGATTAGCAATGAGGGGGGAGTCACAACCATCCCCTCATTATTGATCACATAGCTTGGTGCATCTTTATGACCTCAAAACAAGCAACATCACCAGTTGGGTTCTGTTGGGGAGGTGTTTGCTCAAGAAAGTGGTGTCAGCATCCCCAATGAGGAAGCAACATTTTTTCTATTTTGCAAGTGGCTGGACTCAATGGAAAAGGGGCAAGCAGTGTGGAATTTTTGGACAAAATAGTGATGCTTTCCAACCACTGATCTGTTCCATCCCATCTCTCCCCAAATGCAGCCCAATTTAGATGTCCACACATCAAAAACTCTGAATTTTCCAGAAAACTCTGGAGCAACTTTCAACTTTTTTGTAATGTGGATTACAGCCCTAAAGAAATGCTTTCTGGATTCAGCAGAGATCAAGTGTAGGAAAGAGGAATACTAGCAATTAAAGAAATGATGCTAATGCTTAACTAGTACAATGTTGCTCAAACAATTAAACAGTTTTGACTCCTGAATAATAAATAGAAAGGGCTAAGTGGAAATTGGTGACAGTCAATTTCTGAAACATTGCCTAAGTCTAGATGTGACACCTGATCAGGGAAAGGGAGAAAGAAGAACACAGGGGAGGAAAAGTGAGGAAAGAGTTTCAAGAAAGAGTTTGATGCCATGAATACTCAGGTTAAAAAAATTATCAAAACTAAAAGAACTGGAAAATCTTGATACTTCCAGGGACATATTTCTTTTCTGGACAAACCCTTATATGCATTAATTGGTGATTACCTTTTCTTTACATATGAAAACTTTTCCCCACAGAAACCTCTTGTAGTGCCCAATGCCCTAAGCCTTTTTCTTTTTGCCCCACATTTTTTGTTTCTGCCCCCTCAGTGAAAATTGTTCCATTACATCCCTGCATACTGATCATAGTGGGTACTGTCTGCAATGATGTAAAGATCCAATTTATACAATAAACCAAGCTAGAAGAATATGAAAATAGTGGAAAATAAAATCTTAAACTTTACAGTGTAACCTTATTAATTGTCTGGGTACCCTGAGAAATTTTATTTCCCCATGAGAACTTAATTTGTTCTTGGCAAACATAGTAAAATGCTTAATTAAACTTAGCAACAATATTTTTTTGGGGAAAAGAGAGAGCAAGACAGACAGAGGGAGGAACAAGAGTGACAGAATCTTGGCAGATCAACAAAAGGAAATAACACAAAAAGAAAAGGATTAGTGAAAATAAAGATCAAGAGAGGATCAAAAACTTATATTGGCTAAATTCCAGAAAGCATTTCCTACATTTTATAAGCAACTCTATTCTTAACTGTTTAGAACAGAGGAACTAGTTGATCTTCACCTAAAGGAATACTGACCACCCTCCATGCTCAAGAACAGAGGCCCTTATAGATACTGAGGGAATACAAAATGTAGTTCAATTGTCAACTGACTAAATGTCATGTCTGATGTATTATATACGGAACAAAAGTCCCATACAGAATATGCTGGTTTCAATGGCTTTCAAGATTTGTACCTTCAGTGAACTTCCTCTTCATCAATTTGTCTACTGAGACAGCAACAGAGGATTCTAAGGCCTGATCTGTGATAAGACTATTGCTTTACCCTAGCCATCTCCTCCCGCTGGGCTTTGTCACGGCTTATACAAACTTGTTAGCTAGAGAACAAAACAAATGCATGGAATATAGGTTGAGACTCCCTTATCCGGAATGCTTGGGACCAAAATTTTTTTTGGTTTCAATTTTTTTTCAGATTTGGGAATATTTTCATATACATAATTTAATATCTTTAATAAATTTAATACTTTTGTGCATGAAACAAAGTTTGTGTACACTGAATCATCACAAAGCAAAGGTGTCACTGTCTCAGCCTCTCATGTGGATAAATTTGGATTTTGGAATATTTCGGATTTTGGAATTCTGGATAAGGGATACTCAACCTGTGCTGCATAGTAAAATTTGTAATGGTGGGCAAAACCCTTAGACATCATAGATTCTTGGATGTATAGGTTTTCATATATACAATGAAGCTCTGCATTACTAAAGGTTCAACTGTATCACAGATAATTCTTTAATAATCTGCCTTAATTAGCTATTGCCATATCAGAGTGCAACCCTGTACAACACATACACCAGTCAGAGAACAGTAGGATATAATGTCTGCTTGGAGTTTTTCTGGACAAGTAAATCATTAATACATACTAGGTTCAGTGACAGAAACCAGCATAGAGCATCAGGATTAAATTGGTAGATGCAATTCCACCAGCGTATGGATTAAAAATGGAGAGTATTGGTGGCATAGCAGAAGAGCAAGACTTCTTTAGTTGTCATTCTATATATTTGGTTCCCACCACCTGCTCATTGATGTAATATAAGAAGATGGTACAAGATAACACACTTAAATGGAAAGCTAAAAATAACTTTCTCCATTGTTGTAACTGGCAATGCAATACATCCAGGGGATAATTTTCTGCTCCTGGGGCCCTCTGGGTGCTGCATTGACTGCTAAAACAGTACCTTGTGCCAAAAGGAAGGAAGAAAACAATCTCGGAATGGCCAGAAATACACTTTTCACAATGTTAAACATGGCAGGCCAGACCTGTAACTTATCTCAAATTTATTTATTTATTTTATTTACTTATCTCAAAGGCTTGCAGAAGTGGTTGTTCAATTTTTTTATTTCCTTTTTATTTATTTTTTGGCCAAAAAAGGACAATCTGCAGGGGCCAAGGGCTTTAAGAGCAGAATTTTATCTACTTTGCTTTAAAATATGTTCAACAGTCATTGTAAAACTTCTCAGCATATATTCCAATTTCAAAAGTTACTGAAAAGTTCTTCCACTCAGTTTAACTGAAATATTCAAAATGTTTTCCCCCTAGTTGTTTCTTCCAAGCAAATTAATATTTTACTGTTCCTGATTCTTTTATTGGTAGTCAGCATAGCTTTCATGATTCATTTTATTCTGATGCTAGGCTGAATCATATGTACTTTGGGTACGTATCATCTGTTGATAGTAGCATGGAGGACTACGCTTGTCCTAATGTCTCACAACTACAGTTTTGACTAGAGTTTAGTCTTCTGGTTATGACTGAGATGACTTTAAGAATTCCATCACTGAAGCTGTAGAAGTCATTAAGCTGTCCTACAGTTCTCTGACTGGTGTATGTGCTGTACAGGGTTGCACTCTGATATGGCAATGGCTATTTAAGGCAGATTATTAAATTCTACAATTTCCAATGCCCAAATAGTTACAGAGATGGACACTTCAGGATGTAGGTCCCAGATGAAAACAGCAGAGGCTGGGAAACTGACCTTAGCCCATATGTCAGGCATTAGTAGAATAAATGTGGCTTGGAATGTGTTTTGTATTTTTAAAGAAAAACCTTGATTCTCTGCTAAATCATAAGAAAAGCATTGGTAGGGACAATGCACGTTATCACACGGGGGCAAATCTGCTAGTTAATCCCCACAAAATCCAGACCGAAACTGGATTACTGCCCAGTGTTTTCACATGACGTCACACAGAAACTGGACAGAAAGTGGACAGAAACGTGATCTTTTGTAATTCACATGTCTGGAGGAAATGCAAATACGTAATTACGGTAATTACGCATTTACCGTAATGTGATCGCCAAATGCGCATTGGGGAGCATTTCCCTGCTGTTGCCATGGTTCCAGCGAGCATTCCTCTATCTGCGCATGTGCAAGAGGCTCATTTCTACTACATTTACGGGTTTTTTTCTCTTGTGTGTGGACGTTCAATGCACTTACTGTAAATTCGCAATTAAGGTAATGACGTTTGCGGAAACAAGGTTTATTTCCCGTTTATTTTCGGAATGCCTCATTTCCACTTTATTTTCAGTTTCTGGGCCACGTGTGATAACGTCCAATGAGATAGTGCAGGATAAACTTGTACAAAAGATGTGACCTCAATAAAAACAAAACAGAAATGTGTTGGACTAAAATTCTGTAGCTCTTTTTAAACAGACCTTCCTCGTTATCAGAAGATAGTGCAAAATACAAACAAACATGTTGCTTTTAATGCAAATTTTGGGCACGCACCTAGGTGGTGGTGGTGGGGATAAGCTTCTTTCAAATCTTCAAATAGTCAAACTTCTTAACTTTCTTGATTGTAGACACGCATGGTAAATATTTCAAGCACAATTGTTAAAACATATCCAAAATAATCTCATTGGAATGTGTAGGTGGGCTTCCATCAGAGATTTCAATAATTTGTTGTTGTTGTTGTTGTTGCTGTTGTTGTTGTGTGCGTCCAATTCATTTCTGACTTATGGTGACCCTAAGGTGAACCTATTGAAGGAGATAAAAAAAGTACTACCAAGCTCATGGCTAATTCAGGGCTGGATTGGATGACCCTTGGAAGTCTCATTTTCTATGTTTAAAACTGTACATTTGTAGGCAGATAGCAAAAGGCTTTTCAGCTCTGCTTCAGTGAAATAGGAACAAAGGAATGTGTTTTTTGGCCTTGAAGGCTAGGCTAGACAGTCAG